GGTAGTTGCGATTGGAGAGCTTGGGGAAAGCGGCGGGGGCGTGGTGCCATGGTGGAGGGGTATTGGCGTGGCGCGCGGCGAGCTGACGAAGCGACAAAGCAGGGGGACGAAAACTGCGTCCAGGAGCAAAGAAAATGAAAGCAGAGTCCTAGAGCGAACATGCGACAAGCAGAGCAGGTAGCAGTGCAGGGAGAGCTTGGTGCGGACTGTAGAGCGATAGGACAGGCAGGGATGGACATCTGAGGCAGCTAGAGCGCAGGGCTCATAACCTGTTGGCTGCAGTGGGCCTCAGAGGGGTCACAATGGCCTAAGTCGAGCTCTGTAAGTCTTTTCATTGCAAGGAAACTGTGCTACACACCTAAGTCGAGCTCTGTAAGTCTTAAGGACTGCAGAGTCGACTAAGGCGCAGATGACGGCGCACAGAGCGCGTGGGAACTAGCTAACACGACCATACACTAAGTGGCGCTGGAATGGCGCCAAATGGACCAGAAGTGTGTAAGGTAGACACTATTCTAGAGTGCAGTCAGATCTATAGAAATGGAGACTACTAGTGAAAGAAATGCGGTATCTGTATGGAAACGAGAGTTGTGACTATACGAAAATTACCGTAGATAGCGGACAGCGCGAACTATGTATGGCGCGATGCGGGACTTGGTGCGATTCAGATCGACGGCGCTACAGCACCGACTCCAACACCTTTCTCGTGATGTACATGTCTTCAATGCGGACACCACCAGGAATAAGGAAGGCCTGATCACACACTATATCCGTTGTTTACCTTATATTGGAGACCACCTCGCCTGGCAGTCATTCCTTGTCACAGACATTGGGCGACAAGACGTCATCATTGGTATGGCCTTTCTACGTGAGCACAACCCCCAACTCAATTGGAATGCGGGGAATATTGAATTCACATGCTGCCCCTCAACATGCACCCAGCACACAGTGCAGGATGAAGAACTACAGAGTTTGCAACTTCCCCGAGTGGAAGATGTTACGCAAGACTAGTACGGTGACCTTGGCCTTAAATCATGGGAGAGCACCAATCAGTTTATTCATTAGGTGAGCTTCTCAGAGGACTCAAGTGCTCGTCAGATGCGAGCCAGGTTAGAAGAGAACAAGGACACCAACCCTGCAACAAAAGGTGAATAGGATCGCAAATACTGGTCAAACCATGTGCCTGAACAGTACCGACAGTACGGGGATGTTTTCTCCAAGAAAGCTTTAGAGAGAATGCCAATGAGAAAGGCCTATGATCATGCTATCAAACTAGTCCCTAGAGCCTCGCTCCCCAAGCTGGCCAAGTTGTACCTGCTCAACCTCAATGAACGGAACTTGCTAAAAGCTTGAATTACAGAGCAAGAAGACAAAGGCTACATCCGCACATCCAAGAGTCCTACTGCCGCTCCAGTCTTCTTTGTCCGTAAGAAAGATGGGAGTTTACGTTTGGTCCAAGATTATCGCGCCCTAAATGCGGTCACCAAGAAGGACAAGTTTCCAATCCCCCGGATCTCAGACCTTGTAGATAGGCTTTCACATGCATCGATCTTCACCTCACCCGACCTAAGGTGGGGCTACAACAATGTTCGCATTTGCGAAGGAGATGAAGAGAAAGCCGCGTTTATCACTCACAAGGGACTGTACGAGCCAACAGTTATGACCTTTGGCCTATGCAACGCACCCAGCTCATTTCAAGCAATGATGAATGAGGTCCTAAAGGAAGAAATTGCGACCGGACATGTGGTGGTCTACATTGATGACATCCTCATCTTCACGGATGATCTCACTCTGCATCGCCAACTGGTAGAACGGGTCCTGAAGAAGCTACATGACAACGACCTCTTTGTCAAGCCTAAAAAGTGCAAGTTCGAGCAGCCCTCGGTTCACTTCCTCGGACTAGTCGTGTCGAAGGAGTCAATCTCTATAGATGAGTCTAAGGTACAAGGTGTCAAAGTCAAACACGTTCAAGCCTTCCTTGGACTAGCCAACTTCTATCCGTGTTTCATCAAGGACTTTGCCAAAATTGCATGACCACTCACTAAGCTCACGTGCAAAGACATTCAGTGGCAATGGGGAGAGGAACAAGAGCAGGCCTTTGAGGGACTCAAAACCATGTTTACAACAGCTCCAATTCTTCAGATCCCGAACAATACAGCTCCGTACAGACTAGAGACAGACTCATCTGACTTCGCAGCAGGGGCAGTTTTGGAACAACTTAGAGAAGATAAGCTATGGCACCTGGTCGCCTTCTACTTCAAGTCCCTCAATGTCCACGAATGCAACTACGAGATCTACGACAAGGAGCTCTTGACCATTATCCGAGCCTTGGAGGAATATCGACACTTTCTGGAAGGACACCCCAAACTGATTAGGATCTGATCAGACCACCTCAATCTCACCTACTTCTGGCAAGCACAGAAGCTCACACGCCGACAAGCCTGATGGAGTTTATTAATGTCCTGGTTCAACTTTGTTCTGAAACATCGCCCCAGGAAGACAATGCTACGAGCCGACCCTCTGTCCAGGAGGCCAGATCATGAAGAGGGGGTAAGCAGTGATAACTTCAGACAGACACTGCTGAAACCCGAGTTTTTTGCAATCAAAACCATGCAATCTAGTCATGCCTCCATAGTCGATGACAAAGAACTGCTTGAATGCATCAAGAAGGCCCTTGAAGATGACAAAATGACGAAGCACTATAAGGAGTTGTTAGCCAGTGGCCCCCAGGAGTTTGGAAAATACCTACAGGATTGGAACATGGAGAACAGGTTACTGTTATAACAAGGCAAAGTCTATGTACCTAAGGACCAAAGCATCCGCCTTGACCTGCTTAAACTACACCATGACATGTTACTCGCAGGACACCCAGGAAGGTGGAAGACCTTGGAGATCATTGCACAGAATTATTGGTGACCCAGCATGTCAGTCGACGTCAAGAAGTACGTGCAAGGGTGCAACACTTGCCAACGGAACAAGTCAGTCAGAAAACCACCGTATAGACTACTACAACCGAAAGAGATCCCCACTGGCCCATGGAAAATCTGGTCCATCAACATCATCTCTCAGCTCCCACCCTCAGTCAATAGACATGGCAACACCTTCATGGTGATTGTAGTAGTCGTAGACCATCTCTCCAAGCGCTCCCACTTCTTTGCAGCCGATGATCACTTCTCAGCAACAGAAGAAGCTGAACTCATCTACGAGCATATTCTGAAGCACCATGGACTTCCCCAACAAATTATCTCTGATCAAGGAACACAGTTTGCGAGCGCAGCGTTCAAGGAGTTTTGCAAGTTGCTAGGAGTCCAATCCTTGATGTCCACAGCCTACCATCAACAATCAGATGGACAGACTGAATGAGTGAACCAATCTCTTGAGCAGTACCTTCAGATCTTCACAGAACATCGACCAGATGATTGGGCGTCCCTTCTATCCACTGCGGAGTTTACATACAACAATGCGCCACACGAGTCGACCGGCCTGTCACCATTCTTCATCAAGTATGGGTATAATTCAAAGATGGCTCCCGACGTCCGTGAAGAACTTGCTTTCCCATCCCTCAAAGATGTGTTCCACAACCGTGCAGAAGCAAGGGAACAAGCACAGGCATCACTCACCATGGCTGCGGAATGGATGAAATGGTACTATAATCAGGGCCGTGTGGACCCTCCCTTCAAAGTCAGTGACAAAGTTTTGCTCAAAG